TTTTGATTGGTAAGAAATCTGGCAAAAAAAGCAAAATAGCACCACTTCTTCATTGCCATCTCTAAGTGTTCCGAGTTTCACTTCCTCATCACTTCCCATCCAGGTTGTTAAATGATGATGAAGCTTTTGGTTTCTGCATTCCTAGCTCTGCCACCAATGCTTATGAGGTTATTGTTCTAGAAGGCCCTCCCAAGTAATCCTACTTATTATGGTTTCCTACTCTGAATTTCTGCTATATTTACTGTGTTGTAAACATTAAACAGTCTAGAATTTGACATCATTTTACCCTGTCTTTGTTTTTATCATATATATGTAACTTACAGAAAGCCCTGAACACAGAAATTGTCTACCCACAGCAGTGGTTGTCATCTATCCCTTATCAGTAAAGACAATGGCACAACATTAAACAAATTCAGATTCTAGGGCCCCAAGTCAATTCTGCAGAAACTGAATTACTTGTCCAATTTTTAAGAAATTTGTTTTTGGAGGCCAGGTGTGGTGGCTCATGCCTGTAATCCCAGCACTTTGGGAGGCTGAGATAGGTGGATCAGAAGGTCAGGAGGTCGAGACCAGCCTGACCAACATGGTGAAATCCCATCTCTAAAAAAACAAAAGCACAAAAATTAGCTGTGTATAGTGGTGCACACATGTAGTCCCAGCTACTTGGGAGGCTGACCCAGGAGAATATTGCATGAACCCCGAAAGCAAAGGTTGCAGTGAGCCAAGATTATACCACTGTACTCCAGCCTGGGCGACAGAATGAGACTCTATCTCAAAAAAAAAAAAAAAAAAAAAAAAAAAAACAAATTATGTTTTCAAAATGTCTCCCAAATGATTCTGATAATTTGCCAGATATGGGTATCACTACTTTAGAGTTTGTCCTAGGCTCATTAAGTAAAAAAGTCTCAAAACACCATTTAACTTAAAAATTATTTATTTTTAAATTAAAAATTTATGACTAAAGCTTGTGGTTATTAATTTGCATCATCTAGATTTTAAAATCTAACATTTGATTTTGTAAGTGCCATAAAATAGCTAGGAAAATTTTAGAATTAGACTACCTGAAATTTCACCACATATGCTATTTTATGTAGATATAAGCATATCACACATATAGTTAAGATTCTCATTTTTCTTTGACATAAGTTCATTTTAGATTCTTCTTACATGTTGTCATATTTTAAAACAGTGAAAATAACATTCCTTTGGAATGGGGGCACTAACTTACTTCATCATTTCCCTATTTTAGACTTCTTAGATATTTATTTTTTCTTCATAATATAAATATCATAATTGATATATTTTACATAAACAATTCATTGAATATAAATGTAATTGTTTTGCATTTAATCTATTTATTAAATATTTATTGTATTTTAGAAATATACATTTCATTGTTTTTTTAAATGCTGTAATCTGAGACACAATTTTTTGCTAGTCTCTCCAACGAGTTTGTTTTCTAATTTTCAGACTCTTAGAACAATCTGCAATCAAGTATATCACTATCATAAGCCATAAAGTTACTCAATCCTGTTGGCATATTCTCTTGGTTCCTATATTTAGGCATGATCTCCCTATTACTTCAGTCTTAGGAGTATTTCCTAACATAAACCACGCTAAAGGGATAAAAATTGTAACTGCTATACATCAGTTTCTTAAAGTGTAGTCTACTGCTCACCAATAATACAAAAACATGAGGAGCTTGATAAAAGTAGAGAATCATGACTACAAAATTAATCAGATATTTAGATGTGAAGTCTAGAAAAATAAAATTTAAACAAGAACCAAAGAAACTCTTCCGGATACTAACATTTGAAAATTCAGCATTCTATATGCTATGCTGCAAATTTGACATGCAAATTCAGTAAATCTGCAGCATAGATTTAAGGTATTATAGCAACACACATCTTATCAACCTACTTTTTCCCGTACCCAACCCTCCTGCATTGGAGTCCATCTTTCGTAGAAAGTAGAGAACATGTCTATTTTATCTTTGCATTTCTGTCACTGTTGAGACACTACTTTGCAAATAAAAACTGCGTAAGAATGTTAGTTGTTTAATTTTTGACAAGATCCATACTCTGCTAAGTTAGTTTTGATCACTATACAAAATTACCTGCATGGCTTGAAATGGTTTACCTATCTTTTTCTTAAATTATAAAGCTTATCTGGTATCTTTGGAACTTTGTTAAAATATCTCTATGGTAATTGATGTAGGGCTTTGTCTATATTCACAAAATAAATGTGTAAGCATTGTGATATATTTGAAGATAGAAATATTAGAGGAGAGGTCCTTACACTAGAGAAAGTAACCCTCTACTAGGGAAGTTGGTATCATCAGAAAAGTTTACAAAATAATATAATCAAATCTAAAACATGCATCAAACATACAGAAAAAGAACTATAATATAAAAGGATCATGAAGCATCTCTTTTCATGACTCTACCTGCATGGCCAAATTTAACTGAACACAAAAGTTGAGACTGCCTAATTTGATGTGGCTCATATATAACACTGTAGTTCATGCCAGAAGGCTAACTTTGAACAGCATCAAACATGGCCTATTTTAATATCAAGATCTATAGAATACGCATAAACAAGGCAGAATCTTTTATCTCTTCTGCATATTTTTATTTCAATGGTGTATTATTAGAAGAGTCTTCAGCTATTACGACCTCTTTTTATAACAGAGAATACTGTTATAGAAAGTATTCTATAACATACGCGTGCGTGCACACACACACACATACACACACACACAGTTGGATGCAACACACACTAATCTCGGTGCTGTCAGGGAAAACCTCGGATTCTTGATCCCTGTTATTACAAAGTGAATACTGAACAAATTCACAGTAGTTCAGAATTCAGAGTCTTTTTCCCTTTATAGTTTATTACGTTAGAACATGAGACAATAAAAAGCCACAACATACTTATTAGACTTGCTAAAACTCAAAGCACTGACAACACCAAATGCTTGTGAGAATGTGAAGCAACAGGGGGGTCCTTTCAGTGCCCGTGGGTATGCAAAAAGTTACAGCTACTTTGAAATACATTTGGCAGTTCCTTAGTAAACTACACTTTCTTACCACCTGATCCAGTCATAATACTCCTTTGTATATACCTAAATGAGTTGAAAACTTCTGTCCACACAAAAATCTGCAAACAAATATTTATAGTGACTTTAAAAAGTAATTCCCAATTTGGGAACAATCAAGATATCATTCATTAGGTGAATGGGTAAACTATGATACTTCCATCCAATGAAATATTATTCAGTGATAAAAACAAATGAACCATTAAGCCACAGAAAAACATGGATGAACCTTAAAAGCATATTGCTTAGTAAAAGAAGCCAATCTGAAAAGGCTACATACTGCCTGATTCCAACTACATGTCATCCCAGAAAGGTCAAACTATGGAAGCAGTAAAAAGATCAGAGATTGCCAATTTCAGTGGAGGGAGAAAAGAGTGAACAGGAGGAAGATGGGGGACTTTTAGAGCAGCAAAGCTATTGTGTGTGATACAGCAGTGATGGAAATTTGTCATTATATGTGTGTCAAAACCCATAAAATATCCAACCAAAGACTGAACCCTTATGCAACTACAGACTTTAGTTTATAAGACTCTATCCATATTGAGTCATCACTTGTGACGAATGTACCATGCTAATACAAGACATTAATAATAGGGAAAACTGAGCATGGGTTCAGGGATAAGATTATGTAGAAGCTCTCTGTACTTTCCAATTAATCTTTCTACAAACATAAAGCTACTCAAAGTCTGTTAATGTAAAAAAAAAAAGGCAAAAAGAAAACCAAAGACACAGAAGTTGTTAAAATTAAACCAAACCAAATAAAGACTATAATTCCAGTCAGATGAGACAACTTCTAGAACTGTGACTGCAGAACACTTTACTGCAGTTTTTCATGGTGATACTCCTGGTTTCCCAGTTGTTACTTCTTACTCCTGGGTGGTACCTGTGATGATATTGGCATAAGGCACAGAACAAATACTACAGAGTGTTCAGGCCTCATTAGCCTGAAAACTATTTTTCAATATTCAGTCTAGCTTTGAGTCAGGTTCAGAATCTGCTGATTTTCTGAATGACTACTAAAACAACAGAATCAGGACTTACCCAGGCTAGACCAAATATTGAAGTGAGGCCTAAAAGTACACACACCGACCTCAGATTATGGGGAGTACTCATTACCCAGGGGGCAAAATTTTGTCTTGTATAAATTTCTCCAGAATCCTAACAAAAGAAGGGATCCTGCCAGAATTGAGATGTACCTCTTTAAGCAAGAGCATCTTTATCATTTTGTTAATGGAGAGGAAAAAGGAAAAATTCCAAGATTAAGTTTCTTGATACAAGATCAGGAATAATGGTCAATCTTTAGGTAAAATTAACTTCCATTGAAAATCTAGAACCCAATGTCTTATTTTTTTCCTAAGGAAAACTCAAAGTCCAGATTCCAATAATAGACATGCGTAAGAAGCAGCAGACACTGTAGGACTTTCGAAAAGGAAAGGTTCTATTGCTCACCAACATAGCTCCCCAACGCAATGGCATACAGATGTGCTAATAAGATGCCATGGCTTCAGCCCTGGAACTGCTCAGCAGGGCCAGTCGTCTCTGCTTGTGAGCAGCCCCTCAGTGTATCCTAGGAATATTATCATTTTCCATGCGTGCCTTGGCAAGAAGGCTGACAAAACACCTCGCAATCTCTGCTAATGGTGCTTCTATTCCAAAGTGGTCAGACTGATGCTTTGCAATTACCTTTGTTTCTACATATCATTCTACCCCAAAAGTGAGGATAATATTTGCTGAGGGTTTTTTTCTGATGTATTTCACATGAAAGGTATAAAGCATGAAGTACTACAAAGCTATAAGCAAATTCAGAGCATACTTAACATTTTGGATAATAGTGCCTATTTTTATATCACAGTTTTGTAAATATTCAAAGACTATCAAACCAAAAATAGGAATCGGCTGTTACCCTATGATGGAAACTTCTGCCCTCATTTTAGGAAGCATCCTTGTCTTCACAAAATCTCTCCATTCCTGGATCGAGCAGCTCTTGAAGCGTCTTTTCTGGGTCTAAGAGGAAAGAAAAACGTATGAGTAACTTTGGAGGTACTTCAGTTGACATTGGCATTTTGTTTCAAGTTGTAGAGATTCTCTTTTTACCATTTCCTAAAATTTCCACATATCTTATATCAGATTGTTCTGCACAAAACAATTAGCCCTTGAAGAACACTTAATTTAAAAAGAAATTTTCTTCCTTTGTGTCATTATAATCTCCTCCTTATTCGTCTTTGAATAAATGATGTCTTTACTGGTTATAAAGTCATTTTAACAATTTTACAATTATTTGCTTACTTTCCCTAGACATTAATTTTATTCTGTGGTCTCACTTATAATAGCAAGTGTTTCCACAAGAGAAGTAGAATATTGTTAGTACTAACCAGTCTTGTCTGTGGCTTCCTTAAGACTGTCTTGCTGCTTTACTTTGCTATGATAAACTAACACATTTTGGTTCCTAATCTCCTATGCCTAATTCTTTCTGATGTAAAAATCCCTACTAAAACCCGAAGTACCCCATCAAGTCTATAATAATACTGACCTGAGCCAGTGAAAAAGTGTGCTCTGCCAGCATGTTCTATAAGATAGCCTTCCATCAACACAAAGTCTCAGGTACTCTTTTCTGGAACTCGCAAGAAAAATAAGCTGGCTTTGGCAGTTGATCACAGACTGTTCTAATTCAATGAATCCATTTTTTACAGGCTTTACTTGGCAAGCCTCTTTCCACAGCCTGCAAACTATGTTTCTTTGTAAACCCCTTTGCAATTCAACCCAAACACCTCTACACCCCAGTTATCTATTACTGAAAATCTATTTTAAAGAAGTCTTTCAATGGAATATCTAATTTTGGAATCTTTCCTCAACCTTTAAAAACTGTTACACATAGGTCATTATCCTCAGAAGTTGTGGAAAAAGGATGCCGATGGTGTAGTGATGTATAAACTGGAGAAGTTAGAAAACGCAGGCTGAATTATCTGCTCTAAAATGTGCCCCTATTGATCTGCCTGGTTCATCAAATGATCTGCCTTTGCAGGTTCATAGTACAATGACATTAGTTTGATGGTACCTCTGAACTCTAAAGAATCATTCTGCATATTTTCAGAATTCTTAAAAGCATATAGTTGTAGATTGGGTAAAATGTCATCAATAAATCCTCCAAACAGGGACAAAGTATATATTTTTTGTAATATCACGGTCTTTCATTATTAATTTTATTTTTAACATGGGTAATTTCCTGATTCTCATTAATTCAATTAAATATCTATAAAATATGGATAAATCTAAAAACCTTAAAGTTGCATGAAATACGCCTGACACAAAAAAGTGCATACTACATAGTTACATTTACATGAAGTTCTAGAAAAGGCAAAAATAAGCTATACTGATAATCAAAATATTGGCTGTGAGGAATTCACAGAAATGTAGCAAGAGGGAACTTTCTGGAGTAACAAAAAAATTATCTATCTTGATTGGATAATGGTTACACGGGTGCATACACTTGACAAAACTCATGGAACTGTGACCTTAAAATCTGTACACTTTATTGTAACTAACTTGTACTTAAATTAAAAAACAAAGAGACAAACAATAGACAAACAAAAGTTTCCATGTAATTTTGAATTTGGGAGTCTTTAAGATGAACTGTATAGTCAAAACCAATTCTTTAGTCCTTTTTCATTTATCCACTTAAGAAAGATTTACTAAGCACAAATATACCCAGAATTAATATAATGGCATTGCGCTAGAAAAAAAATAATGGTTAGCAAAATAGACATGGCTTTTATTCTTATAGACATTAAAGTCTGTTGGGGAAAACAGACAATTAAAATAGACAAAAACAGAAAATTATCACTGTAGCATTGGATGAAGGCCTATGTTTTAACCAAGAGCTGCATCAAAACAGAATGAATTACTTTAGACTAAACCCTAAGCCAAAGTGCATCGAAAATATTGGTGTTTGCTGAATCACTAAAAGCTAAAAGACTGCTTAGACTAAAGCAAACCAAATGATGTTTTTCTATTAAATCAAGCCTATATATGCTCTAAATCGAATGAATCAAAACATCAAAATACTTTTCAAATCAAATTTTGTTTGGCCATTGAAGACTTTTTTTTTTTTTTTAACAGAATTTAGGTCATCTATGTCCTTTGGCATTTTACATATACAGCTGTCCACAGGAATAACATGGTGTTAAATGACCTTCTTTTCCATGAGCAAGTCCCAGCTGGGCAGACAGGTGCATCTACTTCTGGTAACTCTGCTGCCAATGGGGGATTTGCAGGCTTTCCCAACAGCAACCATTATGCATACTCACGATAAATCCAAGCTTGTGACAGGTGCAGTATTTGATATACAAACAAAGTATAACCACGAATAGACCCGTTTTCCAATATAAAATGCTTTCAGAAACATATATCCCCCTCACTCCCATGAAACTCACATTTTAAAATGAAGTCCTTCTGTGGGCAATCCCATTTTTAAAGCACGTGAAAATATTTTATAGCTTAACTAGTATTAAAAATCCTCTTGTTTCTTTATTGGTTTTCTAACCTATTTGTTCAAAATCTTTCCAAAATGAGCAGAGTCATTTATAAGACTAAACAGATGAAAGAATATAATTAAAATGACAAAAATAAAATATGAACCATATAACAGAGTTACTGGATTTTGAAGCCTTCTAAGGAAGTCTAACCTATTGTTATTTTGTGAAACTGTCTAGAAGAAAACCAACATCTGTTAAAGAATAAAAAGAAACATGCTAATAACAGTGGGTAGTTCAAAAATATGCTTTGGAATGAGAAGCTTACTTTAAACCAATGCCATAAAGGATGTTGAATGTTTTTTATTTAATCAACAAAACATGCACAACATTACCTTCCCAGTCTCTGACCAGGCATCTTAGGATTTGGGCTACATTCTACTGGCAGGAAAAAAAAATGGCCTTCTGAACTCTAAAGTAAGTGGGACTTGAAACAATTACTTCAAATAAGTGAGCCATTTTACATCCTCAGAAAACATGGTCAGATTTTAATCCTATCTCTACAATGACAGTTTCCTTACTTTCTTACTCTGGTCAGTGATAAATTCAAAAGAAATCCTCTACTGCTGATGAAGAATTATAGTTCCTGTTTGTAAACATTCCACATATTTAATATTTTTAAAAGAGTACATATTTTAACAAAACATAAATTTTTCAATCTCATATTTTTTTATTCTACAGCCAAATGGTTGGTAATTAAAGGAGTTAACATAATGGAACATTTTCCTGACATGCTTGTGTCATTTTTCCTTCTACTTCTCCAATTTCTACTCTCCCAATCTCACTTTAATATTTTTGGTTTCTATTCTTTCTTGTGGCCAATGTGAGCATCAGTTCTCTGTGTTTCCTGGTCGTTCTTTTATATTTGCCTTCTCATAAATATGGCACTATAAAGGAAACATGATATTGAGTTTATGAGATACAAGGAATCTTAAACATATTTGCACTTAAGACTTTCTCAAATCTCAAGCTATTGAATACATAATTGTGGTATAGAATTCTAGATGATTTCTAATGGTTTTTCACTGTCATGGTTTTCTTCTCCAGTAAGTCCCAAAGATACCATGACCTTCAGTCTGCAGGGCTTATATCCAATGATAATCTCTCTGTCCTGAAAACAAATTTTAAGCAGCTATAACTTAATGCATCTATTGACACTAAAATGTAACTAATGGCACTGAAACGTTCTGAAAACAGAAGTAAAGTCTTTGAACTAGTGACTTGGGAGCAAAATTTTTCCAGAGGTTCAAATGTGGGGATTATCTTTAATGCATATACATAGTTTAGATTAATTCAAAGGCATATATTTAGCTCCTATGATGTGGCAGATTTCATGCAAAGTACTAAGGACATATGGCCCTTCCTCTAAAATTAACTTCATAGCTTTTGCCATTGAAGAAAAAGGAGAAATAAACACATACAAGATAACTTAATGCCATTTGTCAAGTGCTATGATAACTGTATGAATAGCATTATGAAATATGTGACCTGGACACTCAGTTTTCCAGATGAAATAAGAATGACTAAGGCATGTTTCATAAATATTGTCTGAGCATCTGATTTTGGGATCACAAACCAGTTGTTCCATAAAATCTAATGAAGATGCTATCCTGATTATTAGTTACAGAAGACCTCATTAAATGCTTACACACTTGGTTTTGTCCCGTTTTTCGTTCAAATAATCTTTTTTTCAAAAGTTACCATGTGAGTGGTTCAAGCAGAATTTTCTCATCCATAAAATGTACACATTTATAGCATATTTTGATATTTAATGAAATAGCACGTAAACCAAAAATAAACTTCTATAAGCCCTCCAACTAACTGAATGGATCCCTCCTCTTGGCAAAGAGGATTCCAAAGTAAACCTGAAAAACTACTTCAGGCCATGACGGGAAGTGGGGGTTGAACATGTCTTACTATACTCTCTTCCCTTTGGAATTCAGACACAACGGACTGGCATTAACATTAAAACAAAGATTTTTTAAATTGTACTTTGGGTTCTGGGGTACATGTGCAGATCATGCAGGATTGTTGCATAGGTACATACATGGCAATGTGGTTTATGGCCTCCATCTCCCTGTCACCTATATCTGGCATTTCTCCCCATGTTATCCCTCTCCAACTTCCCCACCCCCTGCTGTCTCTCCCCGAGCCCCCACCCAACAGACCCCAGTGTGTGATGCTCCCCTCCCTGTGTCCATGTATTCCCATTGTTCAACACCTGCCTATGAGTGAGAACATGCGGTATTTGATTTTCTGTTCTTGTGTCAGTTTGCTGAGAATGATGGTTTCAAGATTCACCCATGTCCCTACAAGGACACAAACTCATCGGTTTTTATGTCTGCATAGTACTCCATGGTGTATATGTGCCATATTGTCCTTGTCCAGTCTATCATCAATGGGCATTTGGGTTGGTTCCAGGTCTTTGCTATTGTAAACAGTGCCACAATGAACATACATGTGCATGTGTCTTTATAATAGAACAATTTATAATCCTTTGGGTATATACCCAGTAATGGGACTGCTGGGTCAAATGGAATTTCTATTTCTAGGTCCTTGAGGAATAGCCACACTGTCTTCCACAATGGTTGAACTAATTTACACTCCCAGAAACAGTGTAAAAGCGTTCCTATTTCTCCACATCCTCTCCAGGATCTGTTGTGTGCAAATTTTTTAATGATCACCATTCTAACTAGCATTAGATGGTATCTCAATGTGGTTTTGGTTTGCATTTCTCTAATGACCAGTGATGATGAGCATTTTTTCATGTTTGTTGGCCTCATATATGTTTTCTTTTGAAAAGCGTCTGTTCATATCCTTCACCCACTTTTGAATGGGTTTGTTTCTTTCTTGTAAATCTGTTTTAGTTCTTTGTAGATTCTGGATATTAGCCTTTTGTCAGATGGGTAGATGGTGAAAATTTTTTCCCATTCTGTTGGTTGCCAGTTCACCTGTTTAATAAATGGTGTTGGGAAAACTGGCTAGCCACGTGCAGAAGGCAGAAACTGGACCCCTTCCTGACACCTTACACTAAAATTAACTCCAGATGGATTAAATACTTAAACATAAGACTGAACACCATAAAAACCCTAGAAGAAAACCTAGGCAAAACCATTCAGGACATTGGCATAGGCAAGGACTTCATGACTAAAACACCAAAAGCATTGGCCACAAAAGCCATAATAGACAAATGGGATCTAATTACACTCCAGAGCTTCTGTACAGCAAAAGAAACAATTGTTACAACAATGATCTTAAGAATGACAAAACAAACTCTTTACGGCAATAAGATGCTGAATTCTAACCTGACTGTAGTCTAGCATCACATGACAGACTGTAGGCCCTGAAAGAAATTATTTTACTCTGAAATATATTTCTTTGACATATTGTGAAATGGCCACGGCAAGGCTGTCTCTTGTGAGGGAAGTGTACACTCTGTAGAGAATTTCCTTCCCTTACTCGGTCTTTTTCTGATCCTGAAGTGATTAGCTGAGAGTCTAGCATCTTTTAAAGATCTGAATAGGAAACATTTGTCACGTATTGCCTCTAAGGGCAGCCACTTATGATACTTCATCCACATAATAAAACCTTGGTCTCCACAATCTCTTACTATAACTCTTTCAACTAATTGCCAATGAGAAAATCTTCAAATCCACCTATAACCTAGAAGACCCTGCTTTGAGTTGTCCCACTTTTATGGATTGAACCAATGTATAACTCACAGGTATTGATTGATGTCTACCTGTAACTTCTGTCCAACTAAAATGCATAAAAATCAAGTTGTAATCCCATCACCTTGGGCACACGTTCTCAGTACATCTTGAGACTGTGTTGGGCCTTAGCCACTCACATTTGGCTCAAAATAAGCCTCTTTAAATACTAAGTTTGACTCTTTTTTTTTGTTGACAAAGTTCTTACTATAACACCTGGTATAGGTAATTGCTCTCCACTCTACTCCCTCCCAAAAAAGAAAAAAAGAAAAAAAAAACTCTACATTTTTACTAAAGGCTTGGCTTATCATTGCAATTATCTGTCCTTAGGCAAAAATTTTCACATATGAAGATGTGAGATTAGTTGTCATAGTTATTCCCTCAGAAGAGGTCATTTTACTTATCAAAATAGGTTGCTTGTGTTTACATCTGAAAGAAGAGCCACATATTTCTTAAAGACAACAGGACTCATATGGAGCTTCTCTGTGTGGCAAAAGGTCAGTTCTTAAGGGAGATGGCTCAATTGAAGAGGCATAGTTGTCTGCAATAGAGACAGAGGGCTTCAGAATTTCCATAGGACTCATGGATAGGTTCTATAGGGTCTGTTCCTCTTAAACATAGTGAATGAAAAAATTATGAAAGACTTTTAAATGAACCAAAAGAACACTGGGTATCTTCATTGTAAAAGCAGGCATTATCTAATATACAATTCCAAGTTACCTGATTCTATAGAGGGCTGATTGAGCTATTTTACAAAGCTATAAATTATACATATATGATAGCAATTAAAATAATACTTATCCAAAGACATGCAAATTCCTTTTGGTGGAGGGACAACTGATTTTTCTCTCCACTGCAACCTATGGGAAGCCAGTTTTTCATCTATTTATAGATTCACTTAAACATTCCCGACTCAACCGTATATGTGCATTAATTTGAATTTTTTATTAAACCAGTTGATAACATCTTACTGGTTTCTTTGTGAATAATTGAGTTAAATAAAATTTTGATATAATTTTATATTTGTATAACAATCTTGAATTTGATCCTTTTGAAAATTATCTTTTAATTTTATTTGTTTTGATTTCCAATAATAATTTAGCCAAGTACTGCCATATGAACCCAGTGCTTATGTTTGTAGATACTATCATTTTGGCCTCAAGAAGTGTTAATGATAAAAGAACAGAGATAGCAAAAGGCCAACAATGATACTGTGCAGAAGCTCCACAAAATATTAGAATTATCATAATATAGCACACTGTGTTATAATTATGCTTTGTAAGAGATATAAGACAGTGTCTATGCCTGGCTTTTTTTTAGACAGGGTCTGGCTCTGTCGCTCAGGCTGGAGTACAATGGTGCAATCTCAGCTCACTGCAACCTCTGCCTCCAGGTTCAAGTAATTCTCCTGCCTCAGCCTCCCTAGTAGTTGGGATTACACGTATCTACCACGATGCCCAGCTAATTTTTGTATTTTTAGTAGCGTCAGGGTTTCACCACGCTGGCCAGGTTTATGCTTGGTTTTGTTTGCATATTTTTAAGTAACAACATAATAAAAATGATTTAACACTGGGATTCAAAGAGAAAATTTTTGTACTAGTTTTTGTTTTTGTCTTAAAGACACTGCATATATTGTAGAAGTCTGAGAAACAACGGTCTGTAGAATTGTGGACAATGTATATTTCACAGTTTGCATTTGTGAAAATTTAGTGTCTACGTTATAAAACTGGTGTCCTGAAAGAATTAATTTATTTTAATCTCATGATCACCTTTAATTCATACTTTCTTCCCATTAGATCATGTACTATAAGAATAAAGAGAAGTAGCGCCCACCGTCTCTGCTTGCTGAAAAGCTGCAGAGGCCGTCAGGAGCCCACGCACCTGAGACTTTTACCTTTACCCAAGAAAGGAATAAAAGAGGTCAGACGATGACAACTGTATCCTCAACAGCCAGGCCCCAGGCTTTTGAGGACATGGCTGTGTACTTCACTAAGAAGGAATGGGCCAACATGGCACCTGACCAGAGGGCCTTGTACAGGGATGTGATGATGGAGAACTATGAGGCTGTGGCCTTTGAAGTGCCACCTACTTCCAAACCAGTTTTGGTCTCTCATCTGGAGTAAGGGAAAGAGCCCTGTTTCGCCCAACCACAGGGAGTCCTAAGCAGGAGGGACTGGAGAGCAGTCTTTATAGGATACTCGGAACTGAGAAGATATACTTACTTAGCTAAACCAATATTACTTATAATAAAATCCAAACTTCTTCAAAATCATCAATGCTGGGAAGACAGGAGAAAGGCTTAGTTCGTGACATTCAAATACCAGTTTTGCAAGTAAGGAGTTGAGGTAAGAGCCACCTTAAATTATGTTAAATACACATTTTCTTTTTCTGTAGACTGGTTTCTGTAGATTTAATGTTTTTCATTTATTAAAATAATTCATTTTGATGTAGAAAATAAAGAATAATGAGACCTCAAAATAAATGTCATTGTTTCAAAAATCCAGCCATAGCGGAGCTTTGAAAGCCCACCCGTGTAGCTGTAAAACATCATTCATCTCTTCAGATTTTGATATATGAGTCACTTGAGTTTAGTAATATTAGAGTCAGACTATGAGATAATTTTATCAGCCAAGAACTGTGAGGAGAGATGTATTTATGTGGCATCCATTTTAAAGCAAGAAGGCAAGAGGAAAGGAACGACACAAACTTTGTGCTGTTTAAGCTGATAGAATCATTTCCTATCCTTCTACAACTAACTATATCTTGGGGAAATGGCAGCTGTTAGGTTGGAAGTATGTTTTCTTTAAAAAATACATATTTTTCTGTATACTATTCACTTAAAAGAGCCTTTTAATCTCTGCCTTTAAAAAAAAGGCTTTAAACTCTGTCTTTAAGTCGGCCTTTAAGTTTTTAACTCTGCCTTAAAATTTTGTATCCTGAAATAACTCTTTTGGGCATGTAACAGAGTGTTCTCTCTAGTGATGGAGAAAGAAATACAAAAAAAAAAAAAAAAAAAAAAAAAACAATTAAACAATTAACCCTACCCCTGTAAAGAAAAGGAGAAGATCCAAACTGGGCTGGCTGTGAACTTCCTGGAAAGACAAGCTTTAAGAAGTTCTTACTGCTTGAAAAATGATGTTCATTTGGTCAAAGAGGAATTCTCAGCATGTAGGAGATTAGGGACATGTCCATCATTCTTTCACAGTTACTTATCCCTAATGCCTGGCACACAGGCATTCTATATATAAATCAATCATGTTTATAGCTAAGATTGGACCAAGCCAGCATGGCTGTGTGGAAAGATTTTGAAAAACAAATTCAATGATAGCATGTGCAAGTCTATTATAGCAAAAACACTTTAGCATTAATCTTGTTTTAATGAAGGAACATTATTTAAGTTATATTACATAATAATTAAAATATTTATAGTTTTTATTTTAGGTTATGGAGATAGGCAAATAGATACATATACAAAACTGCTATCATTTTATTTCACTGTAAATTTGTTCTGTAGTGAGGTATTTTAATATTAAAGTGATTACTTTTTCAACTTATTTTAGCTATGGTTTTCTACAATATTTAAGCAGCAAAGAGGACTTTCTCTATGCCTCAAGGCAAGGCTGATTCAGAGAGAACAAACATTTTTGGCCTTGGAACAATTAATTTGACCTTTGTAAGTCAACAGTACAGACAATAGTCTTTAAAACCATGGTTTTGAATTGCAAGTGCCAGGTGCCAGAGAGATGAAAAATTCCAAAAGCCTAGATTTAAATATCAAGAATCAAATCTTACAGGACTTGGAGCAAACGGTTCAAGGCCACAGTGAAGGTGGAAAAGATAAGTGATGTCATATGAGCAGTTTTTCTACAGCACAGCAGAGGAGAGACAGGAAAAGTAAAACAAAAGGAGTGTAGGCAGTATGGGTTGCCCTCCTCCCTGAACCTACTCTGGGGTTGAAACTCTGGGGAATTGGGTAATAGAAACTTCCCAAAATATTGAGTCACTCTTGTATTGGGGACTCACACCAAGTCAACTCTGAAACTTGATAAGAAAATAGTCTGCTGATTGCCTTCATGTAACTAAGCTGCAGTAGGTGGAAATATCAGCGAGGTAGTTCTGGGTAAAGAAAAGGCCTAAGATACTGCCCACCCCACCTGTGTTTTTGTTTGTTTGTTTAGAACGAAAGGGAGTTAAGAGTTTACAATCAGCAAGCCTGAAGAGTTACTCCAGCTTGATGTCATGGGAGTTCACAGCTGCACAAGGCTGCAGAGTGGGCAGCCTTAGCTGTGGACCCTCCTTTGCAGAGCTTTTGACAGTGGGAGAAATCGAGCATGGCTGACTCCATTTTGCTTCTAGCCTGACATGCTGCTGGCTTCACTCATTCCTGGGCATGGAGCAAGCTAAACATGGGAGGAGGAGTTTAGTTTAACTTTGAAGCAAAGATGATAACAGTCCCTTCCTAAAACTGATCCCTTCCTCGTCTGTGGGCTGAAATTGCCTTTGTAAGACTAATGAAAGGCTACAAGATTTGGTAGGAGGGGCATTAATCCTGCTAAAATGTAGGCATGGTTTCTATAATCCCTTACTGCTCAAGAGTCACGTAGCCAGAAGTTACAAGATTTGTGACTTCACCAATTGCTCCTATAGTTAACATCGCCACTATAGAACTCAAGATTGCTCTTTCCAAATGTTTTTCAAACTTTTGCATTCCAGCAATTGACCCCACCCAGACACAGGCGGCCCCATCAAGAGGCAGACTCAGTGCATGCGGACCATTTTTCACATTCCTATGACTGTTCTTCAACCAATAAACAGCACCTATTCTGTACTCTTCTGCCCACAAAATTACTTGAAAGCCTCTAACCTCTGAGCCTTTTGGCCTATTTGAGTGATTCTTCCACACGGCTAGCGTCACATTATTTAACTCTTTCTTTATTGCAATACTACAGTTTCAGTGAACTGGTTTTGTCTGTGCAGCAGGCAAGAAAAACCCATAGGGTGATTACAGAGGTGGAATATCCTGAATTGAACCCAAAGAGGATCACTTTGAGACAGGAAGTAGTCAAGTTACCTCAAATTGCAAGATTGAATTTTCTGCTACCAATCAAAAAAGAACCAGGGTTGAATTGTGCTTAGTAGCAGAAATATGAAAGCTGTGTTTTACTCACTTGATTCTTGTTCCATTTTCATCTCAGTCATATAAAGTTTTAAAACAAAAGTGAATACATTCTAAATATATGCTCTTCCACAAACATGTATCAGTTCACTCTTAAATAATTAAATGGTATCTAACAGGGAGGAGAAGAGATCGTTCTGTAACTCCTGGGTCCCTAGCATTTAGTGCAATGCTTGACCTAAAATATACATCCACATTTTTGAATTAGCAATTGAATAAATTAATAACTGACAATACCCATCTAGATAATAATAAATGCTAATATTACTGAACACTTTGTTGAAACTAAACCTTCACCTGTACTACCTCATTTAATCTTCAACCACCTACACAGTAACATCAATATTCTTATTTTACACAGTGGGAAATTTTGGTTTATAAGGGTGAAGAGATCTACTCAATGTCTCAAAACTAGTAAACGGCATTTCTGAGATACAGACATATACAATCCAAAATATTATAATGTTGAAGCTTAATTTTAAAAGTTGTTTTCGGATATTTGAAGAAAATTTAGAAAGTTGGTTTCACACTGCCATTTGCTTTTATTTGCTTTGTTTTAATAAGTCTTTCTCTCAGTGTTCTCACTTAGCATCATAGCATAGTAGATCTGGGAGGAACTTTATGGATTACCTCGTCCAGCCCCCTATCTAATGATTGATGGAACTGACTTCTTCAAGGGCAGAGCAAACAAGTTCTTTCTTTCTTTAGGAATAAATCTTACTCTCTTCTTTCCTCTTCAGTTTTTTCTCTTATTTCCTCACCCATTTAATAATTGTTAAAAGAGCTGGAAGGTGAACTGTAGTGGTGTTTAAGATAAAGGATTGGTAATACAAGATCAGTGAATGAAGGCTGAAGGGAGAGTGGGTAAAACCAACCCCTTTGCATTAATATATTATACTATAAACTCTTCCTAAAGCTATGCTTTGCAAAAGTCTGCTCAAAGTATCCACTGTAAAGAATTTTTTTATAATGGCATGAATACTGCTATCTCCAACCTCAAATTTATTTCATTGCAAAGCAGATTTTCGTATTTTGAAGATCTATTTTGTATATATTCTACTCTAATGTTCTGTGCCAACTTGCACAATACGCAAAATATCCAAAATATCAATCTTGTTTGAAACAATAAATAGACCTTTCAAATTCATACATCGTTAGTATTTTCTATTCTGACATTCAAAATGTGTTTTTGTTGTTCTCTTTTCAATCAGCTTTACAGGAAAAGCATGGGTGGACAAATAGATGTACTCAAAATTGATGATTCGATGGAATGTGTCTGAGGAGAAATGATGTCTTTAAAATGTTGAATAGTTTCCACAACTGCTCATTCTTTAAAACTGTTAGACACTGAGATACATTGACAAATGGGTCTAATAGTTTCTCTGCATTGGCCATCACAGCAGAATTGGTAATGTACTCTATTATTTTGTTAGACATGTACTTCTAGTGACATTATAGTGCCCATAAAATGGTCTGGTAACTTACAATTGGGATAAAGCTAATATATTTCAGAGGTAGTAGAAAGGTTTTTTGGAACTTACTTTTGCATTAATATAGGATCTTACTATATCAGCCTTCCTCTGTCTTCTATCTAATCACCTAATTTTGTTCTTCTTATGATTCTTAAATTGTTCTTGTAGCTAGTTTTTGTTTAAAGACTCAGGTAGGACTATTCTATATGGTCAATCACTGCATGGCCTGGAGTAGCAAATGTGCAGCCAGGCCCAGAGTGTGGGCACAATGGAATATAACCTGAGATTGGGTCACATTACCCCAAGGGTGTCATTTCATCCTGTACCTCTAGCTCTACTTGCCAACCTGGCTTTTTAACATCTGTGATTTATGTCCTTCTTCCCTTTTGTCCCAAAGGCTAACTTGTCAACCTCCTTCCTATGAACAAGGATTTAAATCTGCCCAACATTTAAAAGCACATATGCTCATAAATGGAAGGAATCTGAAACATGAAAAGCATTAGCCAATATCTTGGCTCTTGGTCCTCATTTTGAGTTATGCATTAGGATTCTTTGATGACTCCTAAAGCTTGAATAATTAATGAAAACATGGATATGATCAAACACTTTGAAAGTAATTGGTCAATCTGCTCCTTTTATCCTCCCCAGACAAAATTATTTACGGAACTTCAATACTTATTTAAGAGAGGCTTTCTAAAAATTCAGCAGGAAGTATTTTCTTTTTTCTTCTTATTTGGTGATCCCCCTTTC